TTTCTGGAGGGGGTCTGTGGGGGTTTCCATGGGGCTGTGATGAAGGAGGCCTTCCAGAACGCTTACCTGGAGCTTGGGGGGTTGGGAGAAAGGGTTTTGGGTGAGAATTCGGTTTTCTGGGGTTCTGGGATTTTTTGGGGGATTTTTTGGGATTTTTTGGGATTTTTTTACATTTTCTAGGGATTTTTTGGGGATTTTTTTGGGGTTTGCTGAGGCCTTCCAGAATGCTCATCTGGAGCTGGGAGGGCTGGCAGAGACGGTTTTGGGTGAGTTTTGGGGGGATTTTGGGATTCTGGGATTTTTTGGAATTTTTTTAAATTTTTTTGAATTTTTTTTGATTTTTTAAAAAATTTTTGGGGGGTTTCTCGGGGGGTTTTGGGGATTTCATGGGCCTGTGATGAAGGAGGCCTTCCAGAACGCTTATCTGGAGCTTGTGGGGTTGGGAGAGAGCGTTTTGGGTGAGAATTCGGTTTTCTGGCGTTCTGGGATTTTTGGGGGATTTTTTGGGATTTTTTTCTGAATTTTTTTACATTTTCTAGGGATTTTTTTGGGATTTTTTGGGGATTTTTCTGGATTTTTTTGGGTTTGCTGAGGCCTTCCAGAATGCTTATCTGGAGCTGGGAGGGCTGGAGAGAGGGTTTTGGGTGCGTTTTGGGGGATTTTGGGATTCTGGGATTTTTTGGAATTTTTTGGATTTTTTTTCAATTTTTTTTAATTTTTTTTTTAATTTTTTGGGGGTTTCTTAGGGGTTTCTTGGGGGGTTTCTGTGGGGGTTTTCATGGGGCTGTGATGAAGGAGGCCTTCGAGAACGCTTATTTGGAACTTGGGGGCCTGGGAGAGAGGGTTTTGGGTGAGTTTTGGGGGATTCTGGGGTTCAAGAATTTTTGGGATTTTTTGGAGATTTTTGGAGGATTTTTTGGGGGGATTTTTTAAGAATTTTTGGGGGATTTTTTTCAATTTTTAAAAATATTTTTCTTTTGTTTTCAAATTTTTTTTTTCTGAATTTTTTTCAAATTTTTAGGTTTCTGCCACTTTTACCTGCCCGAGGAGCAGTACCCCAAGGGCAGATTCAGGGAGGGATTATTGGAGTGAATTTCGGTGATTTTTGGGCTGATTTTGGGCTGATTTTTGGGCTGGTTTTGGGGTGATTTTTGGGCTGATTTTGGGGTGATTTTTGGGGTGATTTTTGGGGTGATTTTTGGGCTGATTTTGGGCTGATTTTTGGGGTGATTTTTGGGGCTGATTTTGGGGTGATTTTTTGGCTGGTTTTGGGCTGATTTTTGGGCTGAATTTCAGTGATTTTGGGTCTCTCCCCGCCCAGGTTTCTGCCACTTTTACCTGCCCGAGGAGCAGCACCCCAAGGGCAGATTCAGGGAGGGATTATTGGAGTGA